AATGGTATCCAAATTCATTGTTTCAACAATGCGATCCGGCGTCATCGCTGTAAAGTGATGCAAGGCCACTGCTGTAACAATGTTATGAAAGGCGCGATAAACAGACAGACAAGGGCGAGCCCATAAGGTGTTCTTCGCTTATGCTAAAATGTAGGTCAGTTAAAATGGTACAGTTGTCCTTTTGCTGAACTAACCACCACGCTATGAATACATGCAGACCTAGGCATTGGTTAAGTGGTAGGTAAGTGGTTGGCTTCATGTTCCTGTCGCGTTACCAACGGGGAGAGAGCCCTGTTACCCACTAGGTGGGCCTCGGAGTCCGCATTAACGCGACTACGAAGAGAAAAATCCTGCCCTTGTAGGCAATCGACGATCCCACACTGACCATTAAAAGGTACAATTATTGTTATAATTTTCTCAACATGCCAAAAACTGAAGCTCCTAAAGAACACAATTCTCTGCATTTTGAAACAAACCAGACATATTCATTCAAATAAAACTTAATAAGTAGTTCTGAAGATAAAACGTGAGACGTGTCATGTAAGAAACGGGTTTCAAACGAAAGAGATGGGAAGAAAACTCCTTAAAATTGTCGAGTGACGTCGGATGGCAGATTAGTTCGATACTTATCGATAATACAATTTCGATATCACAAGAGACGTAATCTCACACAAAACGTCTTTATCGACTTGTCACTTCGTTTCAATGGACGCTGGCTACCATCTGCCTGCCCTTTGTATAAAATTTCTGCGTGAAAAAAAGTTAATTTTACGAAGCAGATTATAGCTCATATTCGCGATATTCACTATAAAATCTATTTAGCCGTGACGGTGTGTTGAAATAAAGTTACCAAACCTGCCAGCTCTCCCTTAACCAAACTTTGAATTTCAAAGCCCGTGGCTGGTAGTAGAAAGGCAGTGAGTGACCTGTAAACTGCCAGTTGCAACGGTTTATAGTCTACATAAAACCCAATTCAGTATTTGGGGGGGGAGGGCTGCAACTCTACCCCGGCTTATTTTAGTGTATTAACGGTAGATAAGTCTTCAACTTGATCTACATATACAAAGTGATCAGAGTAGTGTACAGCTGCTCCCCTGTCGTGATAAATCAGTCGATTTATTTTTGGGGGTGGGATCGAAATGACAAAACCACCGCATTAAGATACAACGCCTCGGTTATTCGACAAGGGTATAGTCAATTGTGATATATTGTCACTTCATTAGATGTTCTCTTCTGTTCTTATTGAATAAGTTTTTATACGTTTATCAATGTAAGTCTTCCTTCGCTTTTCTTTATTTGTTAAATAGTTCTGATGTTTTAGTTCTTTACGTCGCTGTTCAGAGGCCAACTGTTCTTGGTCAGTCAACTTTCTACGTCTAATCCCACCCTTGCAAATCTTCGTCTGTTTTTCTACGTGTGTTGTTAAGATGGTCTCCTTTATCATTGTAAGTCTTCCTCCGCTTTTCTTTATTTGTTAAATAGTTCTGATGTCTTAGTTCTTTACGTCGCTGTTCAGAAGCCAACTGTTCTTGGTCAGTCAACTTTCTACGTCCAGACCCACCCTTGCAAATCTTCGTCTTAAAATCGACCATAAAGTCAGATTTCATAATAGTTTTCGTAATCTTAATATATCGAAATATTAGTATCAGTTTACCTTGTTGGAGTTTATACTTCAAATAGTTGATAACGTCTTCTTTCACTTTTCTTCACGTTCTTTACGTCGCTGTTCGGAGGCCAACTGTCAGTCAAATCTTGAATGAGTATTATTGTTAGTATTAGATTACCTTGTTGGTGTTGGTTACGTGATAATGCGACTGGCTTAGTAGTTACCAACCAACCAACCAAAAAGCTAACTGAGGGCGGATGTGTTGTATTCGGAATTGTTGTGTTCCACAACAATGCCGAGTATAATGTTACATTGTTGATGACGTCATTTTTTTTGACGACAACGGGGAATCAGAAATTTTTATAGTAGCCAAGGGCAGAACGCTCCTTTCGGAGCTCCTCGGAGGGGTTGGTCAAGTTTTTTAAAAGCAACCAACCCCTTCGGGGGGGTTGGTTGCGTTTTAAAATCTTGTGTAAGAAACTAAACTAAACCCCCCGAATGGAGGCTGGCCTGGCAGTGGTTCCGACGAAGGTAATTCCCAGATCCTTGCTCGACTAATGGAGCCAGACAATGTTTTCTTGATGTCTCATAGTAAAATGATACTAATGATTGCTTGGTATACCAACACAATAATGCCGAGTAAACAAATGACGTAATTGTTTGATGACGTCATTTGTTGGCTACAAATTGTTTGGCGACGACTGGGAATCAGAAATTGTTATAGTAGAAAAGTACTAAATCGCCATTAAATGGCTTCGGGTACTTATAACCTCTAAAAAACAGTAGAACAGTGCTTATTTTTTTTAAACGCTAAACAAACGAATTAACAATAATTAAGCTACAAGGCATTGTGATCCGCGTAATCTCTGAACATCGTACTTTACTTACTGATTAAGATTCCTTTGCATTATCGCCATGCGCCAGAGATTTCATTTAGACACGACCGTCTCGAAGATCCTTGGCCTTCCATATCGATACACGTTTTCTAGTGTCGATTCAACAGTTCATGAAAAAGATAAAAAAAAAGTCTGAACTCAATATATTGTCCCTCTTTATTTGGCCAATAATTATTTTTAAATCCGCCTACGTAAACTATCATAGTCAGTTCGAAAGCAAAAACATTTTCTCAAATTTACATGAAAGACTAGGGGATCATGGACATTTCACAACTGATTGGAACAACTTGTTCAGCATCCTTAATTTCACACCTATGCCATTAAAAAACTGTCAGAATTTTTTAAAAAAATTCTGTCTCTCGTACTAATTTCAAAAGGTTTATCAAACGGAGAAAAATGAATAATGTGTGCGCGTGGAGTCGCCATGCCAAAGGGGATGCTGTTGTCATGGAAACACGCGAAAACCAGTTTCACTGACCGGGTATCCATAGCAACGCGCCCCTTTAACGAGTGAAATAAAAAGCAGAACAAACTGACATCAATGCCAACAGCCCGTCTGAAATACTTGAATGGTAACAAATCCTATTTGACCATTTTTCTGAATACGTAAGTAACGTGAACAGTGAACGAAAAATGTTTAAAAATTGTATGTACACAATAATTCCCCTCACCCCAACTTACACACACCTTTCCGCATTTCTTCCCAAACTACACTACATAAGGCTATCAAAGTCCATTATTATGTTAGAAAATCGACAAAAGATGTGAATTATCATCATCATTCAAATCGCCATGTCTTATTCCACTCATTACTTTTAAGGCTGATTCAAAAATACTGCAACAAATCTAGGATCAACTTTTCTTCGAATACTGAAATCTACAGTCAATCCACAACGTACAGATCTCCCTAACTTCCTTAATTAAAGAACATACATGTCCAAAAAATTATTATCAAACTGCTGTGCCTAATTAACAAGTGCTAGCCTAATTTAGGCATCAATGAACACAGCTGTGTAAATTTAAGACGTGGACATGAGCATACCTTCCAGCTTAAAGCACAACATAAATTGTGTTCATGCGTCTTTAATAATGGGCAGGCAGCTAAAATCACTTTGTTTATATTAATATTATTACTGTTACAACGTTTAAATTGGATATATGATATATGGGTCATATTTCAGCCATTACGCTCTGGACGAATAAGGCCAAAACATGCATGACCAAGCGATATGGCACTGTAAATGTAACAAGCAATAACAGCTCACAAAATGTGAGGATTCAACAAAGGAAAATGAATCTAAACATCTTCTCCAATAAACAAATTAATTTACCTTGATATATCTTATCGGCTAATGCTGAGGAACATAAGCACCAACATCCCTTCTGCTATACGTAACAACACCCAAACATATGAGCATAAGTATCCACGCTGCAACACTGTTTACAGATACCATGAAATGGTGAACCGTTCCGAAACGAAGCGACGAAATGAATTACTTCATAAGTCAAATCACATAAATATGTATTAAAGGTCATTACAGAATGTGTCATTATTTAATTAAATATATTGTTTTAAGCTAAACATGTGTTTTAATATCTCTTAGAAGTAACATTGTATATTTACTTTTAGCAAGATATTAACCAGGTATTACAGGTAACCAGAGGAACCAACATATGAAAATGAAATATCGTTCAAAGAGAACATGGCGAAATTATTGGTTTGTAAATAAACGTACGAAATTCTTCCTCCACACTACACGAATATGAACGGAGAAAGTGTAATTTTAGGTTGCAGTGAATACATTGCTCATCATTCAGTTCCAATTTTTTTTTTTAACATTAACAAATAAATTTCAAGACTGTTCAATTGTGGAGCACTGCCGAAGTAATGCGGAAATTTTGACCCTTCACTGAACATTTAAATTTCAATATCAGACCCTCCCTCGACAAGAACAATCTTTCAGAAAACAGTTTTCTGGTGCGTTTCCTTAATAAATCATAAAATAAACGTTATTAAATATACTAATATGTATCAGATAGAGGTTTCCATGATGTGAAAAAGACAAATACAAAATTACATACAACTCTGCATTCTTGAAAAAATCAACTTACGTTCTCGAAGAAGAAATTTAACACTTATTGGTACAAACTTCCTGTTCGATAATCTCTGGCTAATACATACTGGATGATACGGGCGCAACAACCCCATTCTAAGGTGATACATGTTGATGTTTTCGCGTTCTTTGTGCCCAATACATTATGAAGAGGTTTTGTTTTTGTCCGTTCACATGTTTTATTTATGAAAATTACAGATCGGATTCCGATAAAAATTTATTATCGAAGACCATATTAAAGCTGTGAGCCTATTTGCTTTTCGTACTTTCGACTTCTAGGTATACATACATGCGTCACGAGAAAACTACTGGGCCGGGAAACGGACCTTCCTGCGCATGCGCAGATCAACTATCGCTGTGATATATAAATAAGATGCAATAAAATAAGTTTGTAATAATTACTGTTTATATACATAAGATAGCACATACTTACTTTTCTTATAAAAAAATCATGTGTTACAGAAATATCCTGAAATGAAAAATTTTAATAAAACATTATAACAGTCCACGAACTGAACACTTCTTGTGCATAGTAAGGTACAGTTAATCTAAAGTAAACTATGCTATAAGTACCAGTATTACTGAAACTACGTAGTCACATTTATGTATTCTGTATTTTCCATTTCTGAAGACAGAATTACCTTCTCTGCATGGCAGAGTACTTGAAGTGAACTGAACACCATCTTGTCTCACATTCAGCAAACTTAAAACATACCCCTTCTCCAAGTCCTTATGCTTCTTTCTCTCACTTACAGCACTGATTGTGATTATATTTTCAGTTTTAAATTTTAAAGAATTTAGCATCCAACTTAAAACCTGTATATGGTGTTGCATTCATGACAGAAGACGTATACTTTTAGATTCCAAAAGTCTTTGTATTTTCCATTTACCTGCTCAAGGGATGAGCAGGAACAAGTATAAAAATGAGATGAAATGTTAAAAATATTAGAATGAAATTACTGACATATTGAGAACTATGAATTTTTCAATATCAGTACCAAATTCACGTATCTTGGATGGGATATCGTAATAGTTCACCCACTCCTGATAATTTCCTCACCTATGAAAGAAGAAATACAGACCCATTATTGTTTCACATACACACTGATCTCAATTTTACATAATCTATTTAATATAAGGATTAATTTGGGCACATGTTTGTTGCAAGGTACAGAAATGTAAGTTTTCACTTGCAGGTTAAAGGACTTTCATAATATTCTCAATACTATTCTTGAATCAGACTTTTAAATCCTAATACTGATTTTGTTTGCAGTCATTCAATGCTAAAATGTATAAATAATTATTAGTATTTAATAGCAATGTAAGTTTATTACTATTATAAAAAGCAGATACATAAAGAACATGAAGATATTTTCATTCAGTGTGTGTTCGCTCCTGTCTCAATCCAATCTGGAGGATATATTGTATATAGCATACATGTTAAAGAGATGACAGAAATATGCAAAATATTTTATTCCGAAGTGTTCCCTTTTATCTTATGCATAACTATCATATTTACACAAAACACCTTGCCAGTTATGCACTGCCTGCACCAGAAGATCTAGCAGCAACATGGTTGCCAACATACACAAACAGCACCTGACAAATCTGAGCGATGTATCATCATATCATCAAGAAAATGTCTACAAATCAAATACTGCAAACAAAAACAGTATTTTGTTGGAATACCCAAATTTTAAATACTGTTAAATGCAGTTAACTCTAATACTGCACCCCTCAATATACTGCCACCCTTGCACCATACCCACGAAAGCTTTGGAATAGAAATTCCTCAGCTAATTTTGAAGGGAATCCCCAGCAAAACACCACTTTGCTGGCCGCCATCTACCAACACCTGTGACAATACACACGTACCATTTAACATTATAATGAAGTCCAGTACACCACCATGCCATTTTGTTCCACCAGCCACAACAGAAGACTCAAACCATAAGCAGCAAACAGTGATTTCTCTGACATTAAACAGACAGACTATAACACATGCTGAACTAGGTCTTCCACGATCTGACTTAGAGCTCAAAAGACTAGGTTTCTATTACATGAAATTCATATACGTGTTCAAAGGTGGCATAACCATGAAAAAGTAATGAAGATTCAAAATTACTATAGTTTCAATTCATCCATCTGCATATCAAGTTTCTTAACATATTTTTAAAAAGGCACAAACATTTCGAGAGCATCATGCCAGAAGATACATTAACATATCCACATAATCAGTGATATTTGGTCTAACAACATAAAATAGTGGGATGTATGTCATGACAGAAGGGCATAATGCTGATGCTTCCTTACAAAGATACAAACAGTTATATATGCGCATGGACACATAATGCACATCTATCAAACAAAATTAACATATTATTTCTATACTGTTTAAAATTTCAAATTTTCTAATACTGAGTGAGTCAAACTTAAGGCCTGACCTGATAGGACAAATTTCTACTAAATATCTGGAAGCTATTCAACTTTTTAGACTGCTTCTGATTAGTTTGTTTAATGACATTTGATTGGCTGAGTACATTACATAGTGTTAAATGACAAAATATATGGTTTGGGAAGAACATTAAATAACTAAGTGGTCTATGAGTCAAAGATTTTAAACCAATGAATGATGCAAAAATGCCAACAGTTAAACTCGGGTGTTCAGTTGCTTCTGAATTGCTAAATTTCAATTCTGCTGAAACATTTCCAAGAGAAAAACCAAAATTAATAAACTAATTCCTTTCTGACAGGTTAACATTCACTCGGCTAGTCAAAAAATTCCTGCATTTTATAAAACCCAAGGTTCATAAGCATTTTTATGAAGGTCCACTACTGGACCCTACAATAGCTCAGATGAATCCAGTCTACTCTCTCACACACAATTTACTGAAGGTGAATTTTAATATTATACATCCATCTATAACCATGCCCTTAAAGTGATCTCTTCCCTACGCAGATCAAGAAATTGAAAATGACAGCAAATAAATCTGGTAACATGCATAAGCATTTCCAGAAACAAAAGCTGAAGAAATACTAATGGCAAATGAGCTAAGGATTTAAATCCTCTCACTTCTAAGGGCTTTAAAAAGGGCTGTAAATTTTTGGAGGAGAAAAATTAAAAATACTCACTTCTCTATGAAATGAGGGTGCAACCTGTACAAAGATAAATGTAATGTAAATCACAAAAAAATAAAATAAAAACCCCCAGCAATGTTGTTTTAAATCTATAAACAAATGTGCATAATATTAAAAGAAATATCACAGTTTTCATAAACAGCAAGTCTTTCTGTTTCCATACTGCACAACTCCGACATATTCTCCCAAACCAACTATCCCCCTCACCCTCTTTAAATATTATGTCATAGTTCTGTCTTGATAGAGGTACATTTTCATTGTTCTTGAATGAACTTGATCCTTCATCTGACATAAATACTCCAAACTTATAATGAAGACTCCACACTCATGTGAGAATCTGCCATCTGCTTTGTGCTGAAGAAAAATTTCAGATGTCTTCTGACCATATCTGTAACAGTATTTTAAACTAAGTCAGCATATTCCAAGTTGAAGTTACAATGAAATCACACAAAATAACCACTTCAGAAAACAAAGAAAATACAGACATGTAAATTTGGAACTAACTAACTAACTAACTAGATGGCTTACCGAACCCGAAGGTTCATCACCGAATTAACCAAAGCCCTCCACCGGACCCTGTCCTGGGCCAACTACTGTAAGAAAGTCAGACATGACGTGAAAAACTCCTGACTTAATTTTCCCTCTTTTAAATGTCTCTGGTAGGAAATTTCCATTGTAGTGAAGTGCTCAGGATTTGTTCTTGAACTTAATGTTGCAGACACTAGAAAACTCACAACATGGCAACAAGAGAGAAAAATTTTGGTAACATACAAAATAAAAATGTCATTGTACTATTGATATTTCAAGGTGTTTATAAATAAGGTTGCAAAATTTAGTCTCTTGGGTAAAATGAATGGTAAATATACCAATTTAATGTTGGGCGATGTCTGATGTCTTTAACAAAGTAGCTCTACTCTCACCTATAAACAAATGGCAAAAGAACCATTCTGAAGTAATAAACAGTTGGAATGCTGAATGTCCTTTAAAATTCACTTTTTACATTCACATCTGGATTTTTTTTGTAACAACTTGTGTGCCCTTAGTGATAAACATAGTGAAAAGTTCTACCAAGATACAGAGAGGTGCACAACTTTCTGACTGTTGTTTTCATGAACAGAGTATCCAATCCAGCTAAAAACAACTTATTTAATTTATATTATAAGAAAATGTGTAAATGTGTTGTGTTAATTATTTTTTATTTTCCAAAAAATAAAAACATTAATGACCACCACAAAATTGTATAATGAATTAACCAATTCCACAAACCTTCAAAGAATCACTGCAATGGTAGTCAGATGAATTTACAACCAGCTCTGAATGTGCTAACACAGATATCTTGAATATTAAAAGCAAAATTCATAAAAATTAACAAATTAAAGACAATATGACAAAAATAACAGGACATCTCTTCCTGAACAATGTGAAATCACTTTCTGGTACCTCAGCTTTCTACAATGCCAGAAGTCAGTCATAAATCAGGAACACGTGCCACAGAACAATAGTCCTTGACATAGATAATTTAAAACCTAATATTTAAGCTGAATTACTTTACTTACCCACTAAATTCACATCTCTTTATAACAGTCAGTCTTGTTTCATACACTTGTTACAGATCCGAACAGGGTTGTCCCATCCCCGATGAGGTACGGCACGTCTATTCATGGAGCAATCCTTGCAGACACCTCGCCCACAGTCACGGCAGTGATGCAGAGTGATCCGAGGACCAAACTGAACCTGACAACAGCAGCAGTGTGTGACCTCATGATCTGGGACCCAGTATGATGGACGTGCTTTATCCTTGATTAATCCTGTAATGACAATGCAATATTTATTTCAATTTAAAATTATGATTGTATCTCAGAAATTTAAGTGAACAAAGTTCATACATAAATTCTTAACATACTATTTCAATTATGTGAATTGAATAGGGTCTACCTCAGCTGTAAACGTGTTACACATGCAAAGAGGTCACCCAAGTTCAAATCCTGCACAGGATATTTATTTGCACTGCTCGTCAACATGTACATGTTACCATAATTCTGTTTCGCCCAATTTGCAGGGGTCTGCTGCCATAGTCTAAACCTTCTATGCAGATATAATTTACTATAAAAATTTGTGATTTGTCGTTGTCAACAAAAAATTACGTCATCAAACAATGTCACGTTATATTTGTTTACTCGGCATTGTTTTACCAACACAACAATGCCGAGTAAACAAATGAATGGGGGGGGGGGTTAGTTTAGTGTCTTACACAAGATTTTTAAACACTTGACCAACCTCCCCCGAGGGGGCGTTGGTTAAGTGTTTTAACCCCCTTTAGGGTTGGTTTAGTTTCTTACTTAAAATGCAACCAACCTCCAAAGGGGGGGTGGTTGGTTGGTTGCGTTTTAAAAACTTGACCAACTCCCTGAGGAGCTCCGAAAGGAGCGCTCTGCTCTAGTGTATTAAATAATATGGGAAACCACTACAGAAACCAACATCAGAAAAAGTATCATGTTTCTCACATAAATTTGTAAGATAAATTATTTTACAGAATTCTTATGTAACATTCAAAAATAAATACTCTTTGTTGAAGGCTATAAAGCATAACTATACTTCAAAAAAAACATAAGAAAACATTTTGTCAATGGGCAGCATATCTTTTTGAACACACTATGAATTATGGTTTTTTAATGCCTGGAAAGAGATTTGAAACCCCCTTCAATAAAATCCAGGCAATGTGGAAAAGCGAAATTCTGAGAGAATAAAATAAACAAGAAAAAAATGAGCACATTCTTTTTATGGAAATTGCAATCTCTCAGAGTAATACAGTAACTGAAGATTTCTTTTGAAACCCATAGGTGAAATGTCAGATCACCTTCACACATACATTTCACAGCTTGTTGAATTATTTAAATTGATGTCATGATTTGGCAGTTACATTAATTTCCCTTATTTTTAAGTGTGGAGAATTTTAGTTATATAAGCAGTACATGCACATAATTCAATTACATTAGACATTAACAATTTTAATGTTAAGATTACATCATGTAAGTAAACTTTAAGAACCAACAGAATAATGATTACTACCTCTGGGATATTCCAACACAGAAGCAACTGTACTCAATGTGCTAACAACAGCCTCACCATATTTTCTTGCTCGGACTTCAGTGTCATCAATCTCATCTAAAATCCCAGAGCCACGGCTTGAAGATGCTGCAAATTCAAAAACCATTGCATTTAAGATTATTAAATGTTTTTGTTTCCTGAAAGCAACATTTCAGATTATGTCTAGTTTCTAGATAAATATGAATTCCAAATATTCCTATTTCTACATTAATATCACCCATTACTTATGGATGAACATCATAACCACAGAAAAATCTGAGAGGGTGTTGACTTATTTAGAGAGAAATACAGAGTATAAAAAATATAAATGTGTTCTGCACCTGTGTATGGCACCTACCAACCTCTGCTGTAACGCATAAGAAGATAATATCTGTTTACACGTAAAGCTCATTATGCTGTTCACCTAATATCACTAACACATAAGTCATAAAACACGGAAACATCTGAAGTTAGCCCAAGATAACTTGAGATAATAATGAAGTTGTTTATAAAAACAGTATTTTCTTCTGTTTCAAATGTTGTGAAAAATGGTTTATCTTCAGTACCTTATTTATATTCAAATATCACAAAACTAAACTGAAATATGATTCTTTTGCTAAAAATAAAGGGAATTTCTGGACCAGATGAACACCATCAACTGCTCATGGAAGACAATGAACTGTGTAATTATAATAGATCTTACCTTTCTGGTAGCAGTTAACACACACTCGAACTGGACTCATCCATCCCCTGTCAGGAACTGGCATAACATAGTTTGAACAGTCTTCACAAAATCCCTCTCCACAAGCTCGACAATGATGCTTACTTACAGTTGTTGCAAACCACTTGTTGCAACTATGACAATGCTAAACCACAAGAACAAAGTACGTATTCAACATAAATGTAATAGTTTTATAAATGTTGTTAATGAAAAATTAACTGACAGAGTGACCTACTGTTACAAGAAACATAACTAAACCTTGAAAATGTGTCTCTTAAGGCAGAGGTTGGCAACCTTTCCTTATTGTGGGCCACACTGGATATTCATACCCTTCTTGAGGGCCAAAGAAAAAAATTACGAATGTTGTGGACAGTAGATGAAACAGTATTTATTAAATATAAAAAGTATATAGCTGGTATTTACTTTAAAACAATTAATAGCTGTATTTCTCGACACAACTAAGTTTACTGTAAGGACAGTGTTTGTTAGCTTTCAAAAAATTTTGAATTTAAGTTATTGGCAGCTGATAACACTTCATTTATCAATTCCACAGTCATTTTCATGTTGTTTTCATACGGTGTGAAGAATGGAATAATGTACCTTCTGACAATACAATTTTAACATCACAAAGATATATCAACAAAATTTTTGTTTCATTAAAATATCAACGTTGTTCTCACTAGCAGTAAACATTTCCCCTTCTCAAAATTGGCTAATTTCCAAACACAGAAAGGTTGTGAAGGCCACAAGTGGTCCATGATTCATAATCATCACCAGTGTCCCCAATTCTACTCTTCGGAAATTTTCAACTGGTTTTTTTATTGGAAGGATTAGAAGGATTTTGCTTTGTCCTTAGTAAAGACTGCCATCACAGTATATTCACTTTTCAGTTCACTAAACTGACATCTACACATGTTGAGGTCCTGGCTGTATCAAGTGTTGAAGGTATAATTTTCTTTTAGCATTGTTTTGCTATGGAATTTTTTGAAATAAAATATTCATGTAAAATCACATTTGTTATAAGTTTTGTATATTTGAAATAACTGGCTAAGGGCTGCAGACTGTTGATTAATATAGCAAGACATACATACCTTTATTTCATGGTTTGGTCTCCAATACTTAGGCGCTATCTGATCAGCAACCCAAGATGATAACATGCGCGTAGGCGGTGACCCAACACTGGCAACAGCCTCCGATATGTATGTCACACCATCCAGGACTTTTTGGGCGGCATTCTGACTTCCCAAAGCTGTTGAGCTGTTCTGCTGAAAACAATTTAAAATTCCACAAAGGTCTACATGATTATTATGAGTTCTTTACAGCAAACAAAATGCATTTATGAAACAGCTGCCACGGCAAATGAAATGCGGATATATGATTTTGTAAGGTTTATGTTTATAGAATGAAGTGTTTTGGAACAAAACTTAAACTTACCTTGATTACTGACACCTATTCAAGAGCTGAAAGTATCAACAGAACTGTTAACTGGCATTCTTATTAACTCAATTAGAACAACACTTAATTTTTCCAACAAAAATAACTTACATCAGGCCAGACATGTTGAATCTCTGTTCGTACTGCTATATCCTCTGGATTTTTGTTGCCATACCAGTATTGACGACTCCGATATATTTCTCCACAGTAAGGACACTCAATGACATATCTAGCAAATAGAAAAGAAAGTATGTGACAAAACTATGAGTTTGGAAGGGTCAGAGTTTGAAACAGTATAATTATAAAAGAATCATAATATGGTTCACAGTAAACCCTATTATACATGCTGTGATTTTTTTGTTATAGTTGGGGTTGACTTTCATACCTTTTATCAAAATATCACTTAACTTATAAATTATACATTTGATACAAAAACATACCCTGACCAGGCAAATTTTGCAAATCCAAACAATGATGTGTCAGTAGAAGCTGTAAGCTTTGGAGTGACCACCACCTCTTTCCCATTGCTATGGCAAATCTTGCAAATGTACATACAGTTGTCAAACTGGTGTTGGTATCTGTAACAAACAGTTCCCATAAACCTCATTTCAGATTCTGCATCTCTGCCATGTGATGTAACCTCAGTAACATTAATATATCCAATACTGCGCAAAGATATTGAACTGTTACAGTGTAAATGAAAGCAAATCCTACAGCACACTGCAAAACAAACTTAGAAGTGTGAAGGTTCCTGATGATGGTGTGTTATAATCTGTAAGATTATTTTTTTGGACTTTGTCAATATCTAAATTATAAAATAATAAAATCAAAATGTTTCAGAAGCTGAATTCTGCTTCAGTCTAAAGGTCTGAGGTTAGATCAACCAGGATTCCTGTCCTCT